TTGTGAAGGACTGTAATGATGATGATGAATAACTTAAAATCAATATATAATAATTTGAATTCAATGCAAACGTTTTTGTTCCTTTTATGAAATCTTTACTCTTCATTGGGGCCCCCCAACAAATTTTGATACAGGGCCCAACTAAGGCACGCTACGCCACTGGATAGGAGACAACCCCGCTCACCCTTTCCTTCCCCCTCGCCCTCCTGTCGGAGACAATAAATGTTATCATTTTGAGGCTAGGTCTGTTATATTTTCTTTTTGATTTTTCTCAAGAACGGTGTATTATCATTTGATGGAAGTGGTATCGTGTCGGGGTTTAGGGTATCAGAATATTTGTTAAATCATGGCAAAATTTTTTTTAAAGGAAAATTAATATACAACTGTATATAAATTTTCCTTACCTGTCTAGTTATTTTTGTGTACCCTAAGAGTTTCCTCAAGCCTGTTACTGATTATAGTTTGAGTGAACAATTGTCGAAGTATGAGCAAGACAGTGTCGCTAACGTGAGAAAGATACTTCCACTAGATACTGCCACTGATAACTACTTGGCGGGAAAACCCCATTAAAGAATTTTAGCCCGACTCGGGACCATAATATGTTCACCACAAAGACATTTAAGTAGTAGTAGTAATAGACCGGACATCAGTAGCAAAATTGTCGTCTGTAACTTATGTCATATGTATCTCCGATTTTTGTCATTTAGTTATAATGACATCGTCAAAATTTAATACGCATTCGTTTCATATATTTAAAAATTTTTTTTAAAGAAAATATGTCCCATTTTGCATTAAGATATTGTAAGTTACGATATGGAGCAAAAAATGAACGTGATTTCGGTTTATTATCATAAACATATCATATATTTACCGAATAATCTTTAAATTTTACTATTTCTAGTAGATTGTTCTAGAACATTTATTTTTATTGTAATAAGCGCCCTCTGTTGTCCAATAAACGTCAATATTTAGTTACCAATTTTAAAGTTAGTGATTGACGACGTTTATCGATTGGGATTATCGATAAAAAATATACAGGATGCCGATTTAATCCTTTATAATATTTAAAGAGGTAAAATAGTCAACGATACCGTACCCATACCAACAAAAATGAGTAGCATATACCAACTATGCTAAGTACCCTACTTTATGTGGAGCAAGGGTGGGAAAGTTTTTTAGGCATGCTGATGAGATTTTCTATGTTGCTTATGAGCATGCCGAGGATACTTGCTGTGTTGATGTTTAGCAATATAGCAAGATTTCTCTTTTACATACCAGGCTTCATTGTCTGGTGATTTGACACCGATCTTCATTGTCTGATGGTTTTCAAGGACAAGGCCATTATAGATCCTCGCTTACAGTGATAGGAGAGGGCAATAGATTTCTTACATTAAAAACAATTTGTACTGTTAAAGATATTAGATGCAAGAAGTTGTAGGATAAGCCTGAGTTAGAAAATAAGGTAAAAACTTAAAATAACAATTTTTATTGATGTGGGTAGTGTCTTTAAATACTGCAGCTGATGAAACTTGAAAAATTGTGAAAAGGCTTTTAAGTTCAGTGTTTTCCTAAAATATTTTAGATTTGAAGTGTATTTTTGTAATAGAAACGAATTTAAAGACATAGAGGCGCTCTCTTATTCGATTTGACGCTGACCGATCAATCATATGCTATTATTATAGCAGCTAATAAACCGAGTGACGTCATGCCCCACCAAGGTGGCAACCAAAGTGACTGCTGTTTGAATTGATTCTTAGTTATTGGAAATTAAATATTTTTTTTTATGACAATAAAGGGGCGTCAAAAGCTAATATGATTTTTTCGTATGATGGAAGTCATGATAAATAGATATATACAGTAAAACAATCATGTATATTCCTTATTATTATATCGAAAAGCATTTCAAACTTCAACAACATTATCGATACTTTGATATCGAAACGGTAACATTCCTAAAACGAATTTATATTTATTAGCGTCACCTACTGTGGAATAGCTAAAATGTTTTCTTAATAAATGCTTAGCGTTGTTTTGCTATTTTTAACTAGAAGGTGCCACACGCGCACTAGCTCAAAGTTTTTGTGTATAAATATTCCCAATGTCCGCTCTATAGTATACATATATATTTAAATCTCTTTGGTTCACCAGTTACGATACGTACGATAACTTATAACCACTGTTTCTATATAGTTTGTGCACTAGAGCTAGACCAACAAGCAGACAAAGTTCTCACTTGGGCGTAGCGAGACAACGCGCTGTTTATTTAACTCTGTTAAACATAATGATTTCGTATATTTACGCCAAGACTACATATTAAATCAAACTAATTTTTACGGATTTTATCGCGCTTAGTTTAACTTTTTAATTCCCGAGACATCGGGAATTAAAAAGTGCAGTTTCGGGTTCTTTATAGCACCCGAAACGTCGGGAATTAAAAAGTTAAATTAAACGTGATAAAATCCGTAAAACTTAGTTTCATTTAATCTGTTAAACATCTTTTTTTCTTTATAAATCAATCTGGGTATAGTAAAGGAAGACTAAAACGTAACCATATCACTTTAGGCAGACGTAAAATACCTTATTTATAGTTCAATGAGTGGAAGCAGCAGTGCGAAGCGTTTAGTACTGCAATCGCTAATCCGCTTGCCTGCCTAGCGATGCGATTATGGCAAATCCCTTCTACAACAGAGCAGGCAATATACAGGGTTATTTTGCAATAACCGGCCAAATTTATAGAGAAGGTACAGAATATGTAATATAGGCAAATAGTAGTAATATAGTAATAAGTAATATAGGTGAAGAAAAATTAATTAATAAAAATTAATGTCAAACATTCTGTCCTTTTTTTTTATTTTACTGCGCACGCACACATTCGTAAGAGTCGATAGAGTAGGCAAAAACGTTGCCCATAATGCCAATAAATAGGCTCGCGCAGCAGCCTCGCGAGCCAATGCCTCGGCTGATGTGGACGTGCCTCGGGCGCACGTTGCCTCGGCCGAGCGCCGCTCCACTGCGAGCCATACGTTGATAAACTTGAAACGCGCAAAGTGCCTCAATGTTCACCATGGGCATGCAACTTAGAACATTATTTTAAGAACAAAATAATATTTTTGGTGCTACCATCTACATTCCGAAGCGATAGGCTAGACTTATTTTAATCTCTACTATATATACAATAATCTATGATGTTTGCTGTTCGTTTGGTGTGTACGGTGGTATTTTGGCTCGCGAGGCTATAGTGTTTAAATTTTAGTTTTACTGAAATCATTTTAATAATATAATATCATGAGCAATCAGGATGAGTCGATTTATTTAATTCAACTGTACGGTACGTACAAGATGCTGTGGGATCCAAAAGACTGTTTTCGTTTTTTTTTTTAAAAATATGCAACTAGGAAAGTTGCTGCAGCTGCAATTACACAGCTGTCCATTTCGGATGCTCGAGGACTTATGATGGCTAGGCCTGCCTCGCGACGCATGCCTCTGAGTTCCGGATAATACTATTGAGGCTGCCTCGCGAGCCGTTGCGTTAGGTGGGTACCCGGCTATGGACATACAATTTGGGATAATTTCAAATAAAAGTAAAAGCCTTTTTTACTCGTATTTTCAGAAACTGCAATAACGGTATATCATTATTTATATACATATTTGAACTTAAGCTTAAAATTTGGCTACTCTTTGAAAAATAACCCTGTATAGCGGTGGACCGGTGATGTAACAAATTACGATAGTTTGTGTTCCATGAAGTCCATATATGTATCTACTCTGGATTGTCAATTAAATGCAACTTTGCATCATAATTAACTTGGCAGTTACACGTTTTCGACATTGTCTTTACTGTATAACCTTATTGGTCACAAATCACAATACAATAAAAATATATACATTTATTACATAAATATAAAAAATGTCTTTTATAGTTCTTCAATCCATCCATCCATTCATTCATTCATTCATTCATTACAGTCTATATAAGTCCACTGCTAAACATAGACCTTCCCCATAATATTTCCTCATAGAGGGATTTTGCCGTGGTTGACACGTGTGTTAGGGGGGTTGGTAATCACAATTTTTTTTTACTATTTTGAGTTTTTTTACTTTTTTTATTTTATATTATTAGGGATAACAACAGCCTTCATTCTGTGATACATAATTCTTATATAATATGTCTTTACATAGGGCCAATAACAGTCATCCACTTTTTACAATTTAGCATGAATCAGAAGTTTTTATTACGAAGATTCTGCTACGCATCTCCTGCTTCTGTTTGGTTCTGGTAAGCCCTTACGACACCCATGGAATAATATGAGGTAGCGTATTCTCCTAGTGAGTTACGGTTCCGTGGCACTGTGACTTAACAATGAGTTACGGCGCCGAGAGCTCGAATCCCACATGGAACAATTATTTGTATATCTTACAAATAATTGTTACGGGACTGTATGTCCTTGTGAAATTTATGTATGTAAACTGCCTCTATGATACAGGAGAAAATCCTATTGTGGTTAAATTTTTAAAAATAAGTAGGAGAAAGCAAAAGAACCTATTAATTCATTACGATACGAAAATAAATACTTACATGGATTCTTCAGATTCGCTTAAGTGTGATCATAAACTACGTTATTTACAGTGTGACAGTAATAATAAAGTATTACCCTGCCATAAAGGTCCCCACAATACTACCACTGCCACAAAGGTGGGTTCTGATTCACCTGGATCCACCCAGCACACATCACCAAGTCGTCACTCTACCTACGAGTATTACACCTAGTAGGGTAATCCAACCTTAGTCACTTACCATCAGGTGAGCTGCATGCTCGTTTGCCCCTTTCCTATAAAAAAAAAAAACTTACACTTCACTTGCGGGTACAAAATGTTACCAGTTGACTAGCCCTTTCATTTATGAAAAGTCAAAAAGCTGAGCCCCGTGGAAGAATGTATCATAGTTATAACCTTTTTAAACTACTTACCACTCAAAGACTTATTTCATATGACATACGTACCATGAGTTGATTAATATAATATTCGTATGTGATAGTATTTGTAACAGGGTCCAAAGCAGTTTGCATCATTTCATCAAGCTCCTCCTGAAATAATTTAAAAAAGTTAAAGTCTGGAGTAAAGTTACCCATAGATAATTACTACCTTTATAATTAACTAGCTTTTCCTGCGATTTTGCACGCGTGGACTTCAAGCTACGTAATAGTCAAGCTGGTTAAAACCAGAAAAGATTTGCACGGTTGTAAATTGATCCACTCCGTTATAGGCAAACTAAAAATTAAAATAATGTTATTAACCTAATTAGTTCCTATATCATGCCTTGAGTGTTGTAAGAGGCGATAGAGGGAAACTGAAACAGGTAATTGGCAGCCGCTTCTGCAATGGAATGTAAAGTTCTCAGAGCCCTCTACTATCCTCACCTAGTGATGAGGTTATGAACTGGCTAGACGTATAGGAAAACGATGGGTGCAGCTGGCTCAGGACCGTGCTTTGTGGCATTATTTTGGGGAGGCCTATGTTCAGACGTAGATTTTATTTTTTACTTTTCTAAGCCAGCGCTTAACTACATTCCCACCTGATGGTAAGTGGTGATGTAGCCTAAGATGGTGAAGCGCACTGACTTACCAAGAGCCTATTCAGTTTTACCTTGAAGACACACATTGTAATCCAATGGAAAGACAGGTATTAGCAAATTTTTCCAGTTTTTCTGTACGCATGACCAACGAACAAATCGTTTGGTTCTAATGCGTAGGGCGAAGAGCTGTAGTGATGGTGATAAAATCATTATATTTCGGAAAAAAATTAGCTGATTTGCAGCTTTATCGGTGTGTTATTAGTTTATAATTAAGGTGAAAGCTCCAGGGTGGCCCGCGAAATTCAAATTTTCTTGCGATTTTTTGGAATTTGCAGGTCAGGGTATATTTAACAAATATGATTCGCGACCGTAACGAGTATGTGTTTATAGAATTATTATCATTAAAATCACCAATACAACCCTCTAAGTTCATATAATCCCAAGTTTTTCTGGAAATAGCCTTACAATGGGATTATACGAACATAGACGGTTGTATTGATGATTATAATGATTATAATTCTGTAAATACATACTCGTTACGGTCACGAATCATATTTTGTTAAATATCCAAACTGACCCTGACCTGCAAATTCCAAAAAACGCAAGAAAATTTGAATTTCGCGGGCCACCCTGGAACTTCCACCATAAAGCGTTATTTTTATTGCTAAATCTAAACTGCTAAACTACTACGCTACTATAAATTTCAAGTGAGCAGAGCCGTGCAGTTCAGCTAGTAGATTACCTGAGTGAATGGTTCGCCTTCTTCAATCATCAACTGAGTAAATCTTTCTTTAGTGAGGTACCCACAGCCTTCTTTGTCAAAGTAGCGAAAAGCAGCCAGTAACATCTCAGCGCTTGCTGGATAAAACCTGCAAACAAAAAGCAAGTTAATTTTTTTTTTTTGAAAAAAGTAATAGATGTGTGAGTAGAACTCGAAAGCCCCAATTTTTTAAATAAAAATACATACTTAATACATAAACACTCACGCCTGTCACCCAGAGGGGTAGGCAGAGATTATGGACTTCCATTTGGCACGATCCTGACACACCTCTCTCGCTTCCTCCACATCCATATACCTACGCATACACGCTCGTCAGTTAAAGGTACTCTTGATTTGGCCCATTTTTAATATATCGCCAATTTGGTCGATAAACTTTCGCCTAGGGCGACCCTTCCCGACTATGCCGTTCACCTCTGCAACATAAATTTGCTTTGTCACTCTTTCCTCATTCACTCTATTTCCTGCATTCACTCGTCGTTCTATATCCTTATCATATCTACCATCCCTGCTAAACACACATCCCAAATATACAAACTCATCTACTTGCTCTACCAACTCCCCTTCTATTCTTATTTCACATATCGTTTTACTTTCTTCTCTTTCAAAAACCATAACTTTCGTCTTACTTGCGTTCACTTTCATTCCCTTTTCTTTTAATGTCCTGTTCATTAATGTAACCATCATTTGCAACTCGGTTGCCGACGACGCAAGTATGACTTGATCATCGGCGTACAAAAGGCATTTGACGGTTAACTCACCCATTCTTAACCCGCATTCTTCTACTTTCAAATTTTCCAAACAACTGTCCATAAATAGGTTGAACAATCACGGGGAAGCCACACAGCCCTGTCTGACACCTTTATGGATGTCAAACCAGTCCGAGTAGGCCCCGTTGATCCTGACACAAGCACTAGAGTCCCTATATAGAGACTTCAATGCCTGTATCAGACCAGCGCTCAACCCAAATGAGTTCAGTATTTGTGTTATCCCTGTCCACTCTGTCATAAGCCTTCTCCAAGTCCATGAACGCACAAAAAACTTTTTGGTTTTTGGCCAAAAACTTCTCGGCGATCATGTGCATGGAAAAGACCTGATCCGTACATCCCATTCCCTTTCTAAATCCCGCTTGCACATCCCAAATTTTTCCGTCAGTTTCTTTCATAACTCTTTCAATTAGTACCTTAGCATACAGTTTTCCCACAATGCTAAGAAGGCTGATACCACGGTAGTTTATACAGTCCTGCTGTGATCCTTTTCCCTTTTATTTTGGGACTATCACGGCTTTGCACCAGTCTCCCGGTACCCGCTTAAGTTCCCAACATAAATTAAACAAGGTGTACAGCAGGTCTGCCACCACTCCTTCTCCAGCCCTTAGCATTTCGAGAGATACTCTATCATAACCGGCTGCCTTACCTGCTTTCATACTTTTCATTGCTTTCATTATTTCAGCTATACTTATATCTCTATCTATTTCCTCTTCTTTCGTAATTTCTATTTCATTTAATTCAAACGTCTCATCACTTACAAACACGCTTTCAAAGTATTCCTTCCATCTCCTTAAACTCAAAACTTCGTCATTCAGAATACAGCCATTCTGGTCTCGTATAGCATTCATTCTAGGCTGTTGTGAATGTCCCCTGGTAGTTCTTACGAGTTTCCAGAACATTTTAATGTTTGCCTGGAAGTTCTCCGATATTCTTCTATCATTCTTATCCGTTCTTTCTTGCTTTTTCCTTTCAACTACTTCTTTTACTCTCTTATTTAGGTGTCTAAAAACTGCCTTTTTTCTTTCAATATCATCATTCATACTGCTAGAATTACTAGCCTTGGTTGCTAGTAAATCTAGCCATGCTTTCTTCTTTGCTTCAACTTCCATCCGTACCTCATCATCCCACCATAACGTGTTATTTTTCCTTTCATTCGTTCTCTTACTTACACCACATACTTCGGTAGCTGCATCCACTAAACCTTTCTTGACATTATACCACACAGTCTCTTCACACATTCGTCTTGTAACCTCTCTGTTCTTATACGCTGTAACGCTGTGGTAGACACAGATGTCCGATGCCTCCAACGTCTGAAAAGACCATTAATTCGGCATAAGACCAAGTAAATGATCCGTCCCTACGTTAGAGCCCCGGTAAACCCTTGTATCTACCACCGCGTTCCTCATTCTTTCATCAACAATTATGAAATCTATCATACTTCTATCATCACCTCTTTCCCATGTATACGTGTGAATCTTCTTATGACGAAAGAAAGTGTTCGTCACAACAAGATTCTTTTCCACGCATACGGCGAGAAGGCTTTCACCATTCTCATTTATATTTTCATCACCAAACGTTCCCAATATCCTTTCATAACCAAGCCTCCTCACCCCAACCCTTCCATTAAAATCGCCTAATATCACAATATTTTCATTAACCTTGCATTTCATTAGCACCATCCTTACCAACTCCCAAAACTGCTCTCGGATATAAGTGGGCTTAGACGTGTCTGGTGCGTAGACCCCTAAAACAAACAACTCCTTTAAGCCCACTTTCGTTCGTATCCATAGCAGTCTCGGGCTTACACATTCATACTCTTTTACACAGTGACCCATTCTTTCTGAAAGGATGATACCGACTCCCTGGCATGCCCGCTCGGTCTCGTCTACACCAGACCAGTACGCAGTATACATGCCATGTGTAGTGGCATCCTTTCCCTTCCGTTTCGTCTCATTCAGACATAACACGTCTATTCCTCTATCATACATCATATCGCATACTTCATCCATCTTATCATTCATTCCTCCACATACATTCAATGTAGCCAGACGGGCTTCCGCAATCCACTTTGCGCCCCTCCGGGGGACAGAACGTGACGGGTGGCGAACCTCGTCGCCGGTTTTCCTCCCGGAGATTCTTCGCACCCCTGCCCCATTAAAGGGGCGCCGGGAACTCGGGGCCATTTCGTTAATATTTTGCCTCATGGTGCGAAAGTAAGTTGTGGTATTTTTTACGCCGCTACCACACGGCGAGGAGCCGAGTCATTTCTTTCGGCTTTGTCGCACGTTTAGCACCACCCGGGGACACGTGTAGGGTGGGCCTAGGATTAGGTGGTCGAAGCCTACGGACGCGAGCGACTCACCCCATAAAAAATATCATAAATAAATTTGACTACTCTTTAAAACAAATTAACGGGCAAATAAAAGTCAGGAGTTAAACTTGGAAGTAGTCACTAAAGATGCCGTCAGCACCGCTATTAATACTGTTTTTTGGCTCTCTATTTGTTGGAACATTAATTTTTTCGTAGCCTGCCGATGAATCTGATCATTCCACGCTAGAATTTATCGCAGCATCATCATTTACTTTTTCATACGGTGGCTCTTTCTGCGATAATTCGAAATATTTGACACTTTCGTAGTTAGGATCTTTTTTAGACCACACCGAGTCATACTTGGAGTCTTTCGATCTCACTTAATCAATTTTTTAAACAGTATAGAATAAAGTTCGTCGACTTCGAAGGCGACATATTGGGTAATTCCTTCAATGTAATTTCCTCTTTATGTCATTCCATCATCTCTAGTGAAGGATTCGTGTTATCACGTAGAGACTTTCATTACGTTACACTACATTTTAAAATTGTGACCAGCACATATTACAGTGTATTAGAATGAGAGCATCCACGACTTTCTCTGCCACCAGGGCGACGCCACTTGAAAATTAGGTGAAACATTTGACAGATATTATATCGGGGGAAGTTAATTTGTTAGAAAAGTTAGTAGTCATTATAAATGAATTAGATTTGATAGGATAAACCAAATTACGGATTTGTTTTTGTGTGAGTATTCTAAAAACCAAAAAACTCTTATTTAAATCGAAACTTTTCAATGATGCTGATAAAGTGTGACCATCTGTATAACAAACAATTTCACCTTGGTCCCAACTAAAGACATCAGGTGAGCGTAAGATTATTAGGCCTCATTATAATTTCACTACACTAAATGCGTTTTGCTGTTTTATTGATCATATTTATGCGGGGTGGTTCATGACAGTAATAGTCGAATGGCGGGTTCGAACCCAAGAGTTTTAAGTTGGCGGTCCTCACTCTACCATTAAGCTAACATCGCCAAAATATAAATAAAGTATCTCGTTTATGTCAGAAATATATTACCTAGACCTAGGTATTTAACAGGCTAGTAAAAAAAAGCAAAGTTATGTTATTTTATGTTTTTCTAAATTTATTACCTGCGTTCTATCATAACTTTACACATATAAGGCAAAAAGTTAGCAAGTGGTATATTTCCAGTTGCTTCCTTATTCTCAGTTGCTAAAATTACTTCTTGTATTTCGGCTTCCGTTGGACAACAGCCTGTAAAATATAATTATTTTTTTATTTTTGTTTTTAAGTAAAGTGCTAGTACATAGCATTTTAAGTGTGGAAAATTCTATTACGAAAATATATTTCCTTTTATGTACATAATTATGGACGAACACCGGTAACAATCATTTTACAGTCGTAACCTCAGTTTATAATGTAACGAATAAATAAAAAAAAACATGTGTGCAGTTTACACGCGGTAGAAGTCAAACCTTCAAATGGAATTAAATGTAAAATTAAAATATTTCACGACAAATTTTTTTTTAACATGATCATTTTCAATCACAAGTACGGCATAAAATATAAGATAAAAGTTTGATTTTATAAGAAATGAATGTTACAATCCTTGTTTTTAGACTGAACTTTACTGTAATAAATCAAAATAATATTTTATTTCGAGTAAAATTGCTTTGTAATAGCGCCATCTACTTCATTCTATAGGTAAAATCTATAGGTAAAAATTGATTGACTCTCAAAGTAATGCATAAGATATGCGCTATATGGCATAAACACGAATATTGTAATATAAATCAGTAAGCTATGAAATTGCGGATTATTATGAATGAATTGGATATTAGGATAATTTTATTCATTAAAGTTCATTTTATCAATCTAATAAAATTGTTTATTTTCTTACATCTTAAAAGCATCGCACAAAGAAGAGACCGAAATAACAGCAAAAACTTTTTTTTAAATATAATAGCAATGCTAAATTAGCATTACTAAAATTCCCTTTAACCATTATTGGAAAATTTAAAAATAACCGAATGGCGGATTTGAACCCACAACCTTTTGAGTTCGCGGTCTGAATCCTGCCATTAGGCTACTGTCGCTTACTACACTGTATTCTATCTCATTCTCACGCAGATTAAATCCTATAGATGTATACGTTTGTCTCTCGCTTTTTCGTTACATCCAGTTTCAAATCACAAAGATGCTAAAGAAGTTTTCACTGCAAAAAGTATTGTTTCAGGTAGAAAATGAAACTACGCGCAATCATATTTTATTAAAATCTTAACTAATGTTAATGTTTAATTAGTGTTTTTAATTAATAAGTATTTTCTCTGTAAGTGATTTATAAATATTTTGAGAAAATAAATGTCTTAAACTACAAAGCACATTCTACTGTACTACTAGAAACTGTAAAAAATATTTCACCATTAGAAGGGTAGTCGAAACTCGAAACCACCAGTTTTAGTGTAAAATCCACTAAGTTGGCAACATTAAGCAACACTAGGCTGGATTTAGTGCTCGACCTACGGTCAGCACGTACCATACGCACTGACGGTATTTCTTAATCGTCGGTCAAGGCCAAGCATTTAGTGCTTAACTGACGGCAAGCTTTGTTAGAGGCTTTGTACAATTACGAAGAAAAATGAATCCATTTGTTAACTCTATAATATGTGCGTACAACGATTACGGCATAAAATACGGAGAAGATATCATATGCACCCAATAATTGTAGACCGTTTAGTTGAAGGAGAATTTTGTTCATTGTATTCGAAATTGCGCGAACAATTTGCATGTATCAATGTTCATTTTTGTTCGTGATAATACGTACGCGCGTACGGTCAGTCGGCTCGGTCGCTCTGTCAGCGTCGCACTGAACGCACGCATGTACCGCCATAGCGCGTCAGTCAACCGACGTACGTCGCACTGACGACCTCGACCGACGGTCGGGTCTTCATTGATATAGCTACACTCTACCGATGTCAGCGCTCACCGTCGGTCGAGCACTAAATCCAGCCTAATTTTGGATTTCGATATACTTGCCACCCTATATTTCCTATATTTTCGGTTGTTATCAGGAAGGTGATGATAAATTCTTTCTTCAAAAAAGCAGCCCCACAGAAAGAGGATATGGTCGAGCCCCGACGGTTCCACAAAAAATGAGATGAACTTCATTATGACATTGCGAATCGTCTCGCACGCAGACTCGACGACTTACAGCCTCCCGAACAAATCAGTTTCCGAAAAGGCTTTAATACCATAGACCACATACATACCCTTCGGCAAATTGTACAGAAAACCATGGAATACAATCTGCCACTTTACCTTGCGTATGTGCACTATGAGAAAGCCTTTGGGCGGTGCTACAGTCCCTTCAGTGGTGCCAAATTAACTGTCGGTATATCGAAGTGCTGAAGTGTTTGTATAGTAGGGCTACGATGGCTATCCGAGTCCAGAACCAGAGTCCGAAACCTATCTAACTGCAGAGAGGTATAAGACAGGTTGATCTCCAAAACTCTTCACCGCAGCATTGGAAGACGCTTTCAAGCTACTGAACTTAAAAGGATACAGTATTTAACGTCGATGGCGAGTTCATCACTCACCATCGATTTGCCGACGATAGTCCTTATGGCAGAATCGCTGGAGCACCTAAGCACTATGCTAAAATATGTTAAGATAAACATGGACCAAACTGAAGTCATGTGTAACGCCCATATCACACCTGTGCCGGTAGTTGTTAGGAATACTGATCTGGAAGTTGGTGACGAGTATGTTTACCTGGGACAAATAGTCCGAGTAGGTAAGTTCAACTACGACCGAGAGGTCAATCGACGGATTCAACTCGGCTGGGCAGCATTCGGGAGATCACGACACATCTTCTCGTCAGGCATACCTCAAAAACAGAAAACAAGATTGTACAACCAGTGCGTGTTGCCAGTGATGACCTATGAATCTGAGACATGGTCCTCACTGCTGGCCGTGTGAGTAAGCTAAAGGTTGCTCAGCGAGCTATGGAGAGAGCTATGTGGGTTTTCTCTGCATGATAGATTTAGAAACGAGGATATCCGTGGTAGAACCAGAGTAACCGACATAGCCAACGGATTAATAAGCTGAAGTGGGCCGTCTATATAGCTCGAAGAACCAACAACCGTTGGGTAAAAAAGGTTTTCGAGTGGCAGCCTCGTACCGGTAGACGCAGTGTAGGGCGACCCCCTACTAGATGGAGTGACGACGTGGGAAGACATGCAGGACGTCAATGGATGCAGGTGGCTCTGGACCGTGCTTTGTGGCATTCCTTGGGAGAGGACTATGTTCAGCAGTGGACCTATGAGGGACTGTAATGAATGAATATTGAATTAGGAAGATTCTGCTGCCTGTCTCCTGTACCTAGTGTACGATGTGATAAGTATGTATAACTGCTTACCTAATGAACGCAGTATCGTGCCTATTTCTCTTACGTCCACAATTTGTTTTCCAGAGTGATCAAATACTTCAAATGCTTCAATAATTTTCTTTTCTAAATCATTGTTCGGTTGTACTGTAAAGTAAGTAAATATTTAATAAACAAAGCAAACCACGTGTATTTATAACAATTACAATATAAATATTGACAAACTCTTTGGCTCTTCTTTTCGCGCCATGTCCTCAGAAATGTAAAAAATGTATATAAAATATTCTCTTTAAATTTGTGACTTGCAAAATTTTTATGATAACAATAAAAAAGCTTATACCACAGAATACTTTTTCTCCTTAAACTCGTTGCTAAGTAACCATTGGTAACATTTCTTAAACGCATTATGCACAGTCCAACTTGACGTACGTCTCGCCAAGGTCATGCACGATGCACGATGCAAAACGACAATGAATAGGCTTGACTTACGTCAATAATTATTATTATTGGTTGCTGGACGCGCTGGATGCATTTTGTGGATACAAAAAGGATACGTAAGGCACCTCATTACTTTTCGTGTCGTGCTGATGGATAATGAATAGATCGGACGTACGTCAAAGTTGTCGTGCATTAAGCATGCTAGATCGTGTGGATAGCTATACAGCAGATTAATTGTTATTTTATATAGTAAGTAACAAGGTATGCGTTCTCTCTGCTGTCAATCAATCACTTTAAAAAATCTTTACGCGCATTCTCCGCGACTTGGTAAACGAAAGTAATATTTTTAAGCAGTCGCCGGAGCCTTAGGCGGGACTCCTAGTACTGGGTGGTACCTATATTAATAAATAACCATTCTAACCTAACCTGTTACCGAGTTAGGGTGCCCCATGTCCAGAGCTCGCTTCGCTCGCTTTTATGGTCAATTATTAACAATGAAGTTGTATTTATGATCGAACAATCATCAAGAGCGATCGAACAAACGATATTTAGTAAAAATTAATTAGTTTCTCGGATTCATATGTCATTACTGGCAACACGCACTGGTTGTACAATCTTGTTTTCAAGTTCTAAGGTGTGTGAAAATGTGTGGCGAACGCTGCCCAGCCGAGTTGAATATGTCAATTGACCTCTCGGTCGAAGCTGGACTTACCTAGTTGGACTGTTTGTCCCAAGTAAACATACTTGTCAACAACTTCGAGCTCACACCTACCAGCATAGGTGTGACGTGGACTTTACTCAGTATCTTTGTTTTGTCCATCTTATTCATCGTAAAACATAGGTTTTAAGATGAACATGTGTTCAATGACACGGATAGCCGTTGGGAGGCACTGTTAAGGTCATTGAGCATAGTGCGTAGATCCTCCAGCAGTTCTGCCATAAGGATTATATCGTCGGCAAATCGAAGGTGAATGAAACTCGCCAATGATGTTAATACCGTATCCTTTCCAGTTCAGTAGCTTGAAAACATCTTCCAATGCAATAGTGAGGAGTTTCGGGGATATAACGTCACCCTGTCTTACACCTTTCTTCAGTTGGATGAGTTTCGTACTCTGGTTCTGTACTCGGGTAGCTATCGTAGCCCTACTGTACAAACACTTCAGCACTTCGATATACCGACAGTCTAATTGGCACTGCTGACGGGACTGTAGCACCGCTCAAATTTCGACAAAAACAGAGTCTTTCTCGTATTCCACATACGAAAGGCAAAGTGGCAAATTGTATTCTTCGGTTTCTGTACATTTTGCCGAAGGGTATGAATGTGGTCTATGGTATTAAAGCCTTTTCGGAAACCGGTTTGTTCGGGAGGCTGTAAGTCGTCGAGTCTGCGTGCGAGACGAATTGTAATGACTCCCGAAAAAAGCACATAGACGCAGCACAGAAGGGCAATCGGTCTGTAGTGCTTCAAGAGAGTGTTGTCGTCTTTCTTGAAGAACTAGACCACCGCACTTACGCACCACGCCTCCGGAATAGTCCCACCCTGGAGGAATTAAAGAGCCTCTGAAGGAATTCAAGTACTAGTTTTCCACCGCTCCGCTGTAATTCCATCCTCGCCTGGGACCTAGCTATTTTAAGGTGCCGGATAGTCATTCTAATATCGCTCAGACTGACGTCCAGGATATCTTCGGAATAGTGTCGGATAAGACTTGCTCTTGGGTCGTTACTCATATTTGCGTGTGGCTTCAACGATCCAGCTGTCCATAGAACCTCGCAATGTAACTCAAAATCTCAAGTGTTCCGGAAACAATTGCAAAATTCCGCTCAAGAGAATAACTGCTCGGGGCAAGCTTAGCAACGACACCAAGGTGACCTCTGCCACACTATCCGTGAATTTCTGCAATATCAGGGGACTTCACTCACACCTACACGCTGTCCACTACCATCTCGAGACGGTGAAGCCGGCTTTGCTTTTTCTGACTGAGACGAAGGTGTCGTCTTCTGCTGATACTTCGTACCTCTCCTACCCGGGGTACAAATTCGAACACTCCTTTGTGCCTAGGGATGAAGTTTACGTATACGTCAGAGAGGACATGTATTCTCGACGCCTCGGCAGTCTTGAAGGTCGGACCTCTCAGACCTGATCATCCTTTGGCTACGCGTAGACAGTGACGACCATCCGCGCGTCTACGGGTCCTATAGCGATAATGCCGAAATAGACCGACTCATTGACTACGTCCAAATGGCTACAGATTTCTTGCTACAGCAGATCATCAGCAGAGATTGTGGTCCTCGGCGACCATGACAACGCCAACCATGCTTAATGGCTTGGTTCTCATTTAAGCGATCATGCAGCAGAGATCTTTTTATAATTTTGCCTTGGCATATGGTCTCACACAACTGGTTACTTCGCCTACGCAGATTTCAGATGTGGAGGATCATGCACTTTCTCCGTTTGGACCTACTGCTGACCTCTCATCCGGACAGATTTCAGGTCTCCGCCAATGCCTCTCTTGACTCCTCAGACCATTGACTAGTCTGGACTGTGGTGCCACTCAAGCTAACATCGTGGTTGCATTATGCAGGTTGACGTCGTGTTTGGCACCATATGTCGGCCAATTAGGATAGTATAGCGGTCTTTCTTTGCATCCTACCCTTGGGCGGGTTTGCTTTTCACCGGTCGCCGGTCTATAAGTTTGTATGCCTGTATCTACCATCGCCCAAATTGTCGAAAAAATGGGTTGTTCAAGGTAACGGAAACGCTGGAAACAGATGTCATTGATGATGACGTATCGAATGATGTGCAGTTTCGTGGTTACTTGGAAGAGAATGCCAAATTGGCTTTTAAAAAGCTTGGCTTGCTCAGTAGAGCGGGAAAGTATTTCATGCCGGCACACCACCTTCAACTTTACATGGCACAGGTTCGGTCTTACATGGAGTTCTGTTCCCATCTCTAGGCTGAGGCTCCCCAGTGCCCGCTCGTTCAACTTAACCGCATTCAGCGCAGAGCGGCTCGAATCGTCCACGATCGAGTCCTCTGCGATTGGCTCGATTCACTGGCGCTGCGAATAGATGTTATATCCCTTTGCACTTTCTATCACATTTACCACGGGGCGTGCTGTGAGGAATTGTTCGGATTAATCCCAGCCGCCAAATTTCACAAACGCACATCGCGGCAAGACTTCCGATACTATGCACAGCATCTGAAGGCTTAGCAGTCCACCACTGTACGTTTTACCAAGAGTTTTCTTCCTCGTACGAGCTCTCTTTAGAATACCACCGGCGATTTTTCCAGACCGATACGACTTAGAGACCTTCAAGAACCTTTCTAAAAGGCCGGCAACGCACCTGTAATTTTCTTCGTGCTGCAGTAATTCATGGGCGGTGGTAGTAACTTACCATCAGGTGAGCCGTATGTTCGTCCCTCCCCCCCCCCCTTCTATTAAAAATGACCTTCAACGAATACGTTTGGTGATTCTGAGTACAAGGTACGCACCTCTCGTCGGAACACTCACAATCTTTACAACGTTGTGAACGAGAAACTTGTGGACGATAAATCTAACACACCTGGGGACAGATGATGGCCTTCCCGGTAATAGATTAAGCTGCCAGATTCGAGGATTACCGTGTCCTCTCCCTCTCTTCGGACCTCAGATAATCCTATAATATCCGAGCGCAACTTTTGTCTATCTCTTCTTCTAGCTCCAGGATCTTCTCGTCACTCCTAATACCCCCATTACACTACACTGAATCGGGTTCCTGAATTAAGGGTGGGCGTGGCCCCTAATTAGAGACGTCAATTTTGGAGCGACTGGACGTCATGCCACCTATATTTTATTTTTATAGGATAAGGGTGACAAGCGAGCACACAGTCCACCTGATGGTAAGTGGTTGCTGTGGCCCATAGACATTTACGTCTATCCTTTTTTATAAGATAGGATGATAAACGAGCACACAGTCCACCTGATAGTAAGTGGTTGCTGTGACCCATAGACATCTCAATAAAGAATCATTATCCTCAATAAAGAATCTAAATGCACATGCGTCGTCACCCGTGAGGACTAAGATGGAATGTCTCTTCTTCAGTAAAATGGGTCTCCGGTTCTCTACACTCACCATACGAATCACAGTAGTGTCAAGCTGCCATTTTACGCTGGTATTCTGTGAGAGCGTGGTCCTTCCCCAGTCGAGACGACCCATTCGTGCTACAACTATACTACTAATATAGCTGCAGCATGGCTCTACCACGTCTCTATCTGCATTTTGATACGTAAAAATCAATTACGTATCAAAATGCAGATGCGTTGTCACCTGTGACGACTAATTATGGAATGCCTCGGTTCCAGTAAAAAGGGTCTCCGGTTCTCTACACTCACCATACGAAACACAGCAGCGTTAGATATCACACTGGTACTCTTCAAAACCTTCACTTTTTATGTCCTTATTCATATAGTCCTTGTGATCTTTTTTCCACAAATAAGGTGTACGAGTGTTTTACAGACAACAACACTCCTTTTTCTTTGTTGGACATGGCTGCGCGCCAAACAGAAATACTAAAACAAACACATGACTCCTCTCCGCGCTCGTCGCGCATCTAATAAATGTCTTAATAAGCCTTAGTATTATTACACTGCACGGTGGTAAGCCGTAAGAGTACTAAGGAAGTAAGGCAGACCGGGTCCCCTCTGAAGTGACATGACGCCCTAACCTAACTCTAATTACACCTCTCTGAACTATAAAACATCTTTGACCTGTCTTATTAAGGCTTAGGCAACTTGATTCAGTGTAGTGTAATAGGAATATAAGGGTGCGTGCGTTTAATATAGGTCGAGTCGTAGCAAGTAAGCAGACTACTACCTATATAAGATTATTATCACTTAATACTGAGGTAAATTAACTTATGGCTTAACGAATAAGCATTCAAGCCAAAAATCTTAATAAAAACGTGTATCAAAATAATGAAAGTGAAATGTTTTTTGGCGGGAACTTGACCGGCGGCGGTTTGCTGATCCTGTATTATAGTTTAAATAATAGTTTGAAGAGGATTTTGATATGTAAAAGTGGTGCGATTTTATGTATTAACTGTCTACGCATGTGAACTATTAGTGGAAAGGGTGAAACAAGTGCTGGCTCAAGTTGCTGTCAAAATCTCTTAAGGGCTGCACAATGTGACGCATCAACATATTGTGAAGCAGTTAACTATGAAGGATAATTATACATAAAGACTAGGCTGTATGGCATTATTCCTTTGCCTGTTCTCTCGAGCGAATAATAAAAACAACAATGAAAGTGAAATATAAATAAATATATTTATATAAAAATAAATTTGTTTATTTTGTAGCAAGCTAAAGTGAAATAAGTTTTATAAATTTTAATACAAAGTTGAAATAAATTACATTTTATATTTTTAAACCATTTGTAGATCGTTAAAGTTTACATTGTGTGGTAATTGTAAAAAAGATTTAATAAATCTTTGAATTGTAACGCCACAAATGTGTTCTAAATCTTAAAAATCACGTACAAGTAAGTAAATTAATAATTTCAAAAATTAATATCTTCAATATTGTCATATATAAGGAAGCGCTGTGCAATAGTTTACGTCGATTTTTATAGCAGATTTTTTTTTTTTGATAAAATAGAATCTTTTTATTGTACCTAATTTTGAAGTTATCAAATTGAGCAAAACCATAGGTGCTGAAAAAAAATTGCCAAAAGTTTCTTACGGGGTTTGTGTTTGTGGGTTAGTGTGAGTACTAAGGGTGGGAGAAATCATGTGATAGGTCTAAACTTATTTTCAAGCAATAGTGAGGTCAATGATCGTCTTTAAGGTCAAAGTCAAAACCTCAGAAGCCAAGGTCAAACATTCAGAAAGTCAAATAGTCAAGAGCAATTCAAAATATGCTAAAATTTTGGAATACTATATTATAACAAGCTCTGAAGACAAGGACATTTTCGAGGCTTATGTCAAAGGTTAAGGTCAAATAAAAAAATCTTTAGTCTACATCGTAGTAAAATCTAAATATTGTAATATAGTGTAATCAACGGAGCTCCGCTATGCGGGGTTCCTATTTCTGTCTGAAGGGTTTAATGTCACAAAGGGGATAGTGGGTATATTTCATACAAACTACTTGTATGATTTTGTAAAAAACGCATGAAAATGATAAAATCAGATCTGAATAAAAAGATCTGTGTTTGTCAACGTTTTTATTAAAAGTGACTTAATAAATACGTGGTAAAGTTTAATAAACATAATAACATTACAAGTTGAACAATTTAGTGTGGTAGTTTTTCACATCAAGCATAAAAATTTTATGCAAGGGATGTGTCTAGCTCTACACAGTAGTCGGTTATCTATCCAAGTTGCATTGTTTTTTCAGTATTTTTTTCTTGTATTTATTTCTGGCTGTATAAGGCAACTCAACTGTTTGGCCACAAGCAAGTCCACTTAATTATGACTTAAGTTTTTTCACTTAGTTTCATACTTCATATTTTTATAATGATTTCTTATAATTATGCAAACACTACACATTTAAATAAAACAAGTTACAGATTTCATCGTGTATATTAACTTATTTTATATTCCCAACGTATGGGTACTGTAAAGTACTTAAAACAGTATCCATGGTCACATGGTTAACCACGGCTACTTTCAAATTAAAATATAAAATTTTGGTCAGATCTACACAGAATGAACATATGGTATTTTGAAGTTTGCAGTTGTATGCTTGGGTTGGGATTGAATTAAATATTATATATTCCTTAAGTTAACATGTCCTCAATATTTTTTTACTAAAAAAAGTAACTTAAAATACTTTCCGAGATAATTACCTATAAGATTCATATTTCATACTTACGATGAGGACTATTATGATGATTTACATGTTTAACATTATATTTTGACTACAGGCATTGTTATTATCATCAGTGAAATCTGAAAAAAGTGTTATCACTGATGAAGACGTTGGAGTGAAGATGGAATATAACATTGAAAAACAGAAGCCTCTGAAGTTGGTAAGTTTTTCTTATGATACCTATAGCAAATAATAAGTTAGCGTTATACTAGTCTGATTCATGTATATTAGGAGTAATGTTAATTTAACTTTAATCCATAACAGAGCCTATCCTTAGAAAATATCATTATAATGATAATCCAAATGCACAACAATTGAAAGGTATATACAGAAAACTTTTGTGTCACATGGAGCTTAAATCTGCCGGATTAGGAAATTGTGTGCCGCTGGAGAACAAAAGTGTTTTGACGTGCTCTTCAGCACTAAAATGTATAAATTTAACTACTTCAGCCACATGCAAAATGATGAAGATGAGAGTGAAACGGCAGAAGAAAATATTTCAGATGAAAACGGAGGAAATGTGTCTTGATTTTTAGATAATTATTCATTATCTGAATATACACAACAGATAGATAGTTGGTTACATTTCAAGTTGTGTTGTGAGATGTCAGCGTAGACAAATGAAATGTACTGCATGCATTGAATGTTTGTTTTCAAATGAAAAGCATTAATACCATAAACTAGTTAGCGCACAAGATGAAGGCGGATTGTTTTCTGCTTCAAGGGATGTATAATCTATATGTAAGACTTTGGAGGCAGTAATCATAAAGTTTCTTCATCATCATCATCATCATCATTACCACTTTTCATAAGTCCACTGCTGAACATAGGCCTCCCCCAAGGAATGCCACAAAGCATGGTCCTGAGCCATCTGCATCCATCGACTTCCTGCATGTCTTACCAGGTCGTCACTCCATCTCGTGGGGGATCGCCCTACACTTCGCCTACCGGTACGAGGCTGCCACTCAAGAACCTTTCTTCCCTATCGGTTGTCGGTTCTTCGAGCTATATGGCCGGCGCACTGCCACTTCAGCTTACTAATCCGTTGGGCTTTGTCGGTTACTATGGTTCTACTGCGGATATACTCATTTCTAAGTTTATCACGCAGAGAAACCCCGAGCATAGCCCTCCCCATAGCTCGCTGAGCGACCTTGAGCTTCCTCATACGGCCAGCAGTGAAGGACCACGTCTCAGATCCGTAAGTCATCACTGGCAACACGCACTGGTTGTACAATTTCGTTTTAAGGTTTTGAGGTATATCTGACGAGAAGATGTGTCGTAGTTTCCCGAACGCTGCCCAGCCGAGTTGAATCCGTCGATTGACCACTCGGTCGAAGTTGGACTTACCTAGTCGGACTATTTGTCCCAGGTAAACATACTCGTCAACAACTTCGAGCTTAGTGCTCCCAACAGCTACCGGCATAGGTGTGACATGGACATTAAACATGACCTTTGTTTTGTCCATGTTCATCCTAAGACCTATTCGTTGGGAGACACTATTGAGCATAATGCTTAGGTCCTCCAGCGATTCTGCCATAAGGACTATATCGTCGGCAAATCGAAGGTGAGTGATGTACTCGCCATTGATGTTAATACCGTATCCTTTCCAGTCCAGAAGCTTGAAAACGTCTTCCAATACAGCGGTAAAGAGTTTCGGGGATATGACGTCACCCTGTCTTACACCTCTCTGCAATTGGATAGGTTTCGTACTCTGGTTTTGTACTCGGATAGCCATCGTAGCCCTACTGTACAAGCACTTCAACACTTCGATATATCGACCGTCAACCTTGCACCGCTGAAGGGACTGCAGCACCGCCCAAATTTCGACAGAATCAAAGGCTTTCTCATAGTCCACATACGCCAGACATAGTGGCAAATTGTACTCTTCGGACTTCTGTACAATTTGCCGAAGGGTATGTATGTGTTCTATGGTGCTAAAGCCCTTTCGGAAACCGGCTTGTTCAGGAGGCTGGAAGTCATCAAGTCTGCGCGCGAGACGATTCGTAATGACTCTCGAAAACAGCACGTAGACGCGGCTCAGAAGGGAAATCGGTCTGTAGTTCTTCAAGAGAGCGTTGTCACCTATCTTGAAGAACAAGCCCACCGCAGTACTGTTCCACGGCTCTGGTGTAATGCTACCATGGAGGACGGAATTAAAGAGCTTCTGAAGGACTTCAAGTACCGGTCTTCCACCTGCTTTTAGAAGCTCCGCTGTAATTCCATCCTCGCCTGGGGCCTTGCCGTTTTTAAGGTGCTGGAGAGCCATTCTAATCTCGCTCAGTCTGACGTCCGGGATATCTTCAGAATAGTGTCAGATAAGACTCGCTCTTGGATCGTTACTCACACTTGCGTGTGGCTCCAACGATGACGTGTAAAGCTGCCCATAGAATCTCTCAATCTCACTCAAAATTTTAGGTTTCCAGGAAACGATGCTGCCACACTAGGTCTTCAGCTTTGATAGTTGGCTCTTTCTGGCAGACAGATCTCTGGCAAAGACTTTGGAGCCTTTGTTCCGCTCGATCGCTTCTTCAATACAAGCTGTATTGAAGTTGCGTAAGTCCCGCCGCATGCATTTGAAGATCGGTCTGTTCAGTTGCCTGTATGCTGTCAAATCTGTTGAAGAATGTAGCTTCATCTCCCGTCTAACAGCCATGAGATTGAGAGTGTGATCGGAGAGTTTTTGTGTTCTTCTGCGGCGGGTCTTACAGAACTTAGCTCCGACCGCATGGACAGTTTCCACGAGCTTGTCATTCATATAGTCCACTTCATTGCAGTCTTCTAGGCACTGAAAACGGTTTTGTAACTCGAGCTGAAAGGTTTCAGGACTTTGGAACAGAGCACGAGGGGGACGGAGCGTTAACTTCATTACACGAGACATCTCCAACTTAACGTTTAGGTTCAGTGTGCCTCTAACAATTCGGTGTTCACCCTCGCGATCACGGAGACATCACTGATCAGTTGTCGTCTGGTCGTCATAATGAATTCGTCATTTTTTTGTGGAACCGTCGGGGCTCGACCAGGTCCACTTCCTGTGGGGCCACTTTTGGAAGAAAGAGTTCATCATAAAGAATCCCTCTTTCTCCATGAAGTCGGCCAGCTGCTGGTCCTTTGGGTTCCGTTGCCCTATTCCAAATTTCCCTACTTTCAGCTCACCGTTCTCTCTTGTGCCTAGTTTTACATTGAAGTCTCCCATTTACACCGTATATTGGGTTTTGGAGGAATGCATGGCTCTAGAGATATCCTCATACATTTCCTCCACCTCCTCATCGGGGTGTGCCGAAATTGGTGTGTAAACCTGTATGACCTTCAGCGAATACTGTTTGGTGATTCTGAGTATAAAGTACGCAACCCTCGTCGACACACTCTCAATCTTTACAACGTTGTTAACGAGAGACTTGTGGACGATAAATCCGACCCCTCCTTAGGACAGATGGTCGCCCTCCCGGTGATAGAGCAAGTTGCCGGATTCGAGGATTACCGTGTCCTCCCCCTCTCTTCGCACTTCGGATAATCCTATAATATGTACTTGTCTATCTCTTCTTCCAGCTCCACAATCTTCTCGTCAGTTCTCAGGGTGCGTGCGTTGTATGTTGCCAGGTCGAGTCGTCTTAGGTGGCAACCGAACTTCCACTGGAGATTCTTAGCACCCCCTGCCCCGCCGTTACCATGGTCGCCACCGTAGCCAGGAATGGCGGGGCCGCCGGGGACTGGGGGCCGTTTCTTTGTTACTCTCATTATAGGGGGGTATTTGCCATAGTTGCCACGCTTGGCGAGCGGGTTGGCAACCGCAGTTTTTTTATTGTAAGATTGTTGTTATCAGGAAGATGCTGCTGCCCATCTCCTGCCTGTTTCCCTTTGTCGTCTTTTACGACACCCACGGGAAGATATGGGGTAGTGGATACTCTTAACCGCCACTACACGGCGTAATGTTTCTTAGACAACATTTTATAATGACTAAGCCAACTTACACAAAATTTTTATCCTGTATAGAAAAACAATTTATTGGTCATAAAAATACTTATTTTAAAGTTGGAACTGAACACGCGTGTGGTCCTCTTCACCAAGTGAACGTAATAAGACTGATCGCCGAAAAATATTTGACCATACGCTGTTATCATATAGCTAAATTAGATAATGTAAAATGTAATGCAACCTCAAAACGCAAATCTATACAAATAAATAAAATTGAAGTGTCTGTTTGTAATTTCAAAAGAACAGTTTTTTACTAAATGCATATGAAAGTAAATACGGTACTTATAATTAAAATACAATTTTTTAAATTTTTGTCTGTCTGTCTGTCTGTTTGTTCCAGCTAATCTCTGAAACGGCTGGACCAATTTTGACGGGACTTTCACTGGCAGATAGCTGATTTCATAAGGAGTAACTTAGGCTACTTTTATTTTAGAAAAAGTATTCGTGTTCTGCGCAAAAACATAAAAACCCTAACACGCGAGCGAAGTCGCGGGGAACAGCTAGTTATTTATCAAACAAATTCAAAGAGAGGACCTTTAAATTAGTAATTGCAAACATTTAATGGTAAATAATGATAGGTTTAAAATAGAAGAGACCTTAGATGCAAAGCTTCTATATGTCACCCATATATCAACATTTGCTGGCACAACATTCGGGACGGAATCATTCTTAAAATGATGTATTAAACTGTAGAAACGCTATGGGATAAAATATTACGGTAAAGGGTTCCTGCGGGATAAATTATTTAACTATGAGGCAGGCGAAGCCGCCGGCCAACCTCTAATATTTTTATAAGTCGCCAACATACTTTAAATAATAAAACATAATTTGTAAATGCTTAATTGATTTTTATTTGATTATATTTTTCTATACAAAAAAAAATAGATTCTAACTCAACAGACAGCTAAACACAGAATTGAGCATCATATTAAAATATTATAATTTATGATTTTATTAACATTACATAATTTTACAGTCTTTTCTCATTTTATCGGGATAGATTCATTAGCTGGTAACTCCCAGATACAGATGACGCTGGTGTAAAACATAGCAACCGCTAAGCTTGTCTGCTTTCCTCACACAAACACGCTTGTAAACACTGGCCAGTTATTGTTGCATCGCTAATTATCTAGATTCTAGAGGGTGAATGGTCTAAGTATTCATTTACAGTTACTCCATTTCCTCAAC